TTTTGACTTTAACATACAAAGCCCACTACAGTTTGGGCCCACATTAACTGTTGGTGCGTCTTCCCCCAAAGTCAACTGCTCAACCAACCAGGTCATTGCATTCAAGGCTCCTCCAGGTAGCCACCCTGAGGAAGCCCATAAATCTTCTGTGCTAGGGCCTCAAACTTTGTGGAATCAGAGTACAATGTGCAAACACATCCCTCCTACGTTATAAACTTTTATTTTAAAAATCCTTAAAAAACAGTTTCTTTCTTTCCGATTGGCTGAAATCCTATTCTGTAAGTTAGATTGTGGAAGACTGATGACATCATCAACTGTGGCAATTTCTTTAAAAAATAAAGCATTTATTATGTGGCACTTTCACTGGTTTTAAGTTAAAAGGAGGAAAGTGTTTGAAAGAGCTTCGTTGGAGGTGGTGGTAGTTTCATCTTTATTGTACTTTGTGTTTTTCTTTCCCGTATCAGTTGCAACCTGCAATCTTCCTTTCTCACTCCCATCCCATATCCCTTGCTCTGTATTTCTGGTTGTTTATTTGAGTGAGGTTGTGTCTTGGATTCAATATTATTTGAGCCGTAGTTTTATTAGCCAATGGTACTTCACGTATTCCCCGCCACCCCTGCTTGCCCTAGTTTTTAAGGTTAGGTTAGGTTCTGATTTGAGTCTGTTGTTTATTTCCTTGTGTTTGGCTATAGAGTCTCTCTGTATTAGTTACACAGACAGGCATATCCTGTCCATGGACCTAGCAGGGTGTGTGCCTTCCCCTCCATTTTGGGATGGCACTATTCCCTCCGATGGGTCCATAGGATACCTCTGCACACAGAGTAAGTTAAAAGCAGCATACATACCTTATAGACACTACCATAAAGATAAAGTGGTATATGTTTGCCAACAGAAAACCTATCAAAGCAATATTTAAAGGTGGGTACTACAAAGCTCATTTCACCTGTCAGACTGTTTTTAAACCTATGTGAAGAGGTGACTGTGGTTTCAAATGCCATGTGTTTTTGTGAAATAGAAATTGCAATCTCTGTTAAGATAGGCTTTGGTTGTTATAAATCCCCTGAACTATTTTCTGACCTTTGGCAGCATTACTTTCCTCTATCTCTAAAGTTTTTGCCTTTTTGTGAGGAAAAATAAAAGGAAAATTATGGCAGGTTTTGTTTCTTGCACAAGTCAATGGGCAGAATGAAGACCCGGATTCAGTGAGTGTTGCAGGCCTTTTCAAGTTCAATCAGGCACGATGGAATCCAGCTTTCTCGACCCACTGAGAAATGCCTTCCTCTTCACACTTTTTCCTCATTTTCCTCATGGGATCAATGAGAAATTTGAGGAGAAGATGCCTTGATTGCACAGAGGCTCTACACACAAGCAAGAACACTCTTAGATTCTACATTGCAGAAAGCATCGATAGAGGGGGTTGGGTAAGATGAGCCAGGCTGCAGTAGTTCTGCAATAACGGGAGAAAAGCACTCTACACTTCCTTAGAAAGCACCTTTCCTGTTTAATATTATTCCATAGAATATTCAGTAAAATGAATACATGGTTATAAGGGGAATGAAAAAACTTGTGCACATCAAATTCAATCAAGCCCTCCTTTTCTGGGGGTACTGGGAAAGCCATTTGTTTATTCATCTCTCCTCCAGTTCAGACAAAACTGCATCCATTTTCCTATATGAGTTCCAGACCAAGGACCCTGTATTTGCAAGGCAAGAGGAGGTGATGTCCTCTCTTCATTGTGTGTCTTTCTGCCTGAGTGCACATGCACAGATATGTGAATGGGGAGGTTTTCCTTTTAAAGATGAAATGAGTTTCATAACTATACTCTTCTGGGTACCACCTTCTGGTGGTCTAAGCAGCAGCTGGTGGGGATGGAGAATACCTCTGTTCTTGGATCATGGGGTCACTGTTCTCTGTAGGCTTCTGAAAGGCACTGTGTCTCCTCTTTTGGAAGCCGAATGTTGTGATAAAAGTAGTTTGCATTAGAAATTAACATTTGTAAAGTCTTCCAGATAAACTTCATATGAGAAATACCAGTATTTATTTCATCAGTATCCTGTCTTTCAGATCTAAGGAGTAGATTCATTATAGTTGAATCTACAGTTGTGGCCAAAAATATTGGCACCCTTGCAATTCTGTCAGAAAATGCAACCCTTCTCTCAGAAAACTGTTGCAGTTGCAAATGGTTTGGTACTCACATGTTCATTTCTTTGGTTTGCGTTGAAACAACACACACACACACACACACACACACACACACAAAAACCAGAGAAGAAAAGTCAAATCTGATACAATCCCACACAGAAACCCAAAAATGCACTGGCCAAAATTATTGGCACATTTAACTTAATATTTGGTAGCACCTCCTTTGGAAAAAAAAAATAACTGAAATCAGTCGCTTTCTGTAACCATGAATGAGTTTCTTACACTTCTCTACTGGAATTTTGAACCACACATCTTTTTCAAACTGCTCCAGGGCCTTCAGATTTGAAGGATGCCTTCTCCCAATTGCTATTTTGAGATCTCTCCACAGGCGTTCTATGGGATTCAGATCTGGATTCATTGCTGGCCATTTCAGAAATCTCCAGTGTTTTGTTTCTAACCATTTCTGAGTGCTTTTTGAAGTGTGTTTCGGGTCATTGTCCTGCTGGAAGACCCATGACCTCTGGTGGAGACTCAGCTTTCTGACATTGGCCACTACGTTGTGCCCCAAAATTCTTTGGTAATCATCAGATTTTCTGAAACCGTTCACACAGACAAGGCATCCAGTGCCAGAAGTAGCAAAGCAACCTCAAAACACCTTTGAACTCCACCATGTTTGACTGTAGGGACTGTGTTCTTTTCTTTGAATGCCTCATTTCTTTTTCTGTAAACAGTGCCATGATGTTCTTGACCAAAAAGCTCCACTTTTGTCTCATCTGTCCACAGTACATTCTCCCAGAAGGAATGTGGTTTTGTCACATAAGTTTTGGCATACTCTGGTCTTGCTTTTTCATGCCTTTGTGTCAGCAGTGGTGTCCTCTTGGGTCTCCTACCATAGAGTCTCTTTTCATTCAGATGGTGATGGATAGTGTGAGCTGACACTGTTGTACCCTGTGTCTGCAGATCAGCTTGAATTTGTTGGGAAGTTAATCTGGGTTCTGTATACACCATTTGAACAACCCTTTGTTGTAATTTTTCAGTAATTTTGCTCTTCCGTCCATGTCCAGGGAGGTTAGTTACATTGTCATGGGCTGTAAACCTCTTGATGATACTGCACACAGTGGACACAGGAACATTAAGATCTCTGGAGATGGACTTGTAGCCTTGGGATTGTTGATGTTTTTCCACAATTTTTCTCTGAAATCCACAGACAACTCTTTACAATTCATTCTTTTCTCCATGCTCAGTGTCACACAGAACACAAAGGTTCAGTAAAATTTTCTCCATCTTAACTGGTTGCAAGTGTGATTACTATATTGCCCACATCTCTTACTTGCAACAGGTGTGTCTAAATACAAATTAAAGGAGCATCACATGCTTGAAAAGCAATTATTTCTTACAATTTAGACAGAGTGCCAATAATTTTGGCTAGTGCATTTTTGGGGTTCTGTGTGGGATTGTATCAGATTTGACTTTTCTTCTCTGTTTTTGTGTTGCTCCAATGCAAACCAAAGAAATGAAGATGTGAGTACCAAACCATTTGCAACTGCAACAGTATTCTGAGAGAAGGGTTGCATTTTCTGACAGAATTGTAAGGGTGCCAATATTTTTGGCCATTACTGCATATGTTAAAAACAAAATTTCTTCACCTTTGCCAGACTACTGCTTAAGTGAAGAAGTGTGTGTTTCATAGGGTTCCCATTAAAGTTGTAACATTTTGGGACAGGTGTGTGACCATTATTTTCTCTGTACACAGGGAACCAGAACACACCACTGTGCAGCAATAGTTCAAGTGTCATTTTGGGAGATATTTTTTAAAGACAACAAGCACCTGAGAGAGATATGTAACACAGCAAGCTGTTATATGCAGTGGCTTGTCCTTGTTTAAAAGAAAAAAGTATAGAACAACAACAGCAGACGCTATTTGAGACTGAAGGATGTGTAGGCAACCTTCAGTCTCGAGAGACTATGGTAACGTGCTTTCTATGGAGGACATGGAACAGCACCTACTGTGGCTGGGAAGGGCAATTCTTCCACACTGAAGACAAATACAATCTGTCCCCTGTCCAGCTCCCTGATTTTGCTTCAATGCTGTATGCGGAGCTGGAGTGTCCTCTCCAGAGCACGAAGCCTGGGTAAAATAATATGGAGGACAGGGGGTTAGCCAAGCAGCAAATCCCTCCTCTCCACGTTGCTGAAATAGTCCAGTGGAAAGGCAAGAGCCAATACAACTGGTCCCAGCAATGTCGCAGGAGTTGCCAGAATGACACGAACTGCCTCTGCGCCTCCGGCTCCAGATTTTGCCTCGAGGTTAACTCATGAAGCCTCTTCCTTCAGTGGATATAGCCACAAGATAGTGGAGGTTTGAAATCAGAGTTTTCCTTCTCCTAGATGGGCTGCCTTCCAAGGCTGATAAGCCCCACCTACCCAGCTTGGGCAGGCATCAAGTGATGGTGAAACTACCCTTCCCATTTTGCCACCTGTATAACTCACCAGGGCCTGTGGTTTTCTGTGGGAGCAGAAGTTTGGATCAGCCTATTTAACATCAAAATATACTTTGCAGGAAACACATAATAGGTACTAAGTGCTGCTTTACTTACTGCAAACATTTCCGCCCCCAAACTATGCAGTTTGTATTCCTACTACAAAATTGCTACTGGTCTATTCAAATCCCAATGATGACACAACCCCTTACGTATTCTCAAGTAAATACTGTTTAGAACAGAGTATATGTGGTCTTCGTCATGGAGTCCAGTGGAGGTGGGATTAGAGAGGTTTGGTTTTCTCCTGTTTCTGCACATGTCACATGACAGGTGCTGAACTGACAGCACTGGAAATTGAAGCCCTCTATTTTTCCACAGGACTGGCATAGCATGGGCGGCGGGAGCCATGCAAGCTTCGCCACACTGCCATGCCAATGTGTCTCAACCCTCTTCTGAAGAAAGCACCTCTGGAGGTGAGTGGGAAGGTCAGTCTCTATGTCTGTCCAATCATTGGCCTGCACACCAGTGGTTAGCGAAGCTCCCAGTATGGGCAGTATTCTATGGGCAGTCATCGACCAACAAGTTAGCTACATTCACTATGCGAGGGATTTGATTTGTTTAAATTTGCCACATTGGTACTAGGTTAGAAAAAAATGGGCAAGAATAAAATTAATTGGCCTTTAGATTATAAGGTTCCAAATAGTTGCTTTTGCATACGTAACTCTTGAAGTACACCTCACAGGATTCAGTTTGGGTTTCCTTCACTATCTTGTATTGCCTCTTGGCCTATTGGTGCAGTGAGCATGGTGTCATATTTCAGACAAGTATTGAAGATGCAGATCTTTTTGCACATACGGATTTCAGAATACCAGCTTTAAAAAAATTGATAGAAAATTCAGGAATGCCAGGTGCCCAGTCCCATCAGAAGAAGAATATGCAAACAAGAACGAATAGAATACCATAAATGAATATGATCAAAGTGGTTTTATCTCTACCTTTCAAATACTCAAATTACACAGTGGGTATTCAGTTACCTTGTAACTGATAGCTCTTCTAGATACCTTATGCAAATTTATTTTTAGCCATGCTGACATTGTCCCAAGAATATTGGCTTTGCAAGTTCTTTTAACACGAGACGAGAGATCTGTGGGGTCAGACATGTGCAGAAATGAGGTAGGAATGACTCTCACTGTGCTTCTGTGAGTCCCATTGCCCCCAGTTGGAAGCACAGCAGCTGAAGAGTCCCCAGGCAAAACTTCTGTGAGTTCCAACCTGCTTTTGTGACTCACGTCAGCTTTTTGTTAAAGGCCCGGAGTCAGCCCCAACTGCCCCTCTCCCCTGTATTCCCAGGGGGTTAGGTTTCCAACACTGGGGTCTCCAGAAGTCCAAGCCCAAATAAATGGGCAGGAAGTATGGGTCCTGATCTGTGGTGGAGTCCTTTTAGGGAGAGCTGGTATTGGTGGTTGAGGAGGACTGGTCTCCATGGTGTTGCTCCTTCCAGTGCTTCCTTGGCTGTGCCTGTTACTGCTTGTGTCTCCAGTGCCAATGCTGGTTTGGGATAGGTGCCGCAACTAGATGTGGGATATTCGTGTTCATCTGCCAGGGAAGATGAATACAAATATCGGCACCACATGTGCCTGGGCTGCTTGGATTCTCCTCCCAGAACTGACCGGTCCACTTACTGCTCGCAGCACAGTGCGCACATCTGTTGTTGCCTGCAATGTGCCAATCATGCAAGTACCCTGTCTGGTGCTTCCCCACCTCCCTGCACAGCTGACCACTCAGCAGCTGGGGAGGGGGACTCGTCAACTTGCCTCTTGTCAGAGTGGATGGCTGTGTGGAGAGACAGGGAAGTGCCAGCCAGGCTACTTCCACAATTCTAGTGTCACACACAATGAGCAGTAAGTGGACTGGCTGGTTCTGGGGGCAGAGGTCAAATGGCCCAGGCACCTGTGGTGCCGATATTTGTATTTCTTCCCCTGGGAGATGAATATGAATATCCTTTGTCTAGCCACAGCTCCTGTTGGGCAGTGAGGATACCAAGGCTGAAGAGATACTGGGTCAGAGACTCTGGTCCTTCCTGAACAAGCTGGACAGGAGGAGATGGCTCCACTTGTCCTATCTCTCTCTTTGCCTTTCTACAGAAGTGCAGAAGGTGGTATCCCTGTGTTCAGCTGCCTCTTCCCAAGTTCCCCCTTCATCCAAGGTGGTTGACAATGACAACCTGAGTCATGCAACCTCAGGCTTCTCATTTCCATTGTCACACCTTACCTCAATTGTCCCACATCAGGTGGTGGCCTTTCCTCCACCTGCAATGGCACATGCCCGCTGGTTAGGGGCCTGGGAGATTTGCTCTCTCCTGAGCTCCCCTAGGCCCAGACCCTCTCACAACTTCCAAGGCTCATTTGAACTTTAGGGATATTTGTACCTCCTATACAAAACATAAGCAAAAAGTATGTATCTGATTCTCAAAATAGATGCCGAGATGAGGTGTGACAGAGAACTTGAGTCACCCAGGCTACTATTATATCAGAGTCACATCCCAAGGCAGTGTATATTGGTATATAGAGTTAGTCAGTTTGTCCAAATGGACCAGTTGTGAAGTAGTAACGTGAGGAAATCCTTTTCACCTGGGGCAATATAATGCTAAGGAGTCATTAAACTGAAAGCCTTCTGGTGTTATTGTATTATTCAAAAGCATTTGAGACTCCTTACATCACGGCACATTCTTTTTACAGGAAATTTCCAGTTCAGATGTTTATTTATCTATTAATTTATTCATTTATGTAATTTTCATTCCACCCCATTAGTGTAAAGCACTATTCTGGGTGGTTAACAATCCGTGGATGCAACAATAAAACAACAAAAACTGTAACAAAACTATAACAAATAAACAGAACAAGTCAAGTAAGCTGAAACAATATGCGACAAAGGTGACATAGCATTAACCCATAACAGGGAAGCAGGGCAAAGACAGAGTCACCTAAGGCTGCTCTCAAAGACCTTTAAAAAGCAACATCTTAAACAACCACCTGAATGTGGGCAGGGAGAGAGGGCAGGCACAGGAGCTGGTTCCAAAGGACTAAGTGTAGGATGGTACCTGTTTACTTTTGCAGCCAAACCCAGGATAACCACCTATCAGAATAGCATCAACCAAGAGCAGTCTTTCACTAGCTGGAGATTGGACTAGACCATTGGGATCTTTTCCACATCCACAATTCTGTAATTCCAGCCATGTTTTATGATACTTATTATCCAAGCATGTGAAGGGTCCCTTCCCTTTTGAGAAAAATTTAGATCTGCAGCACCTTTAAAAAAAGGACAAGGTGGCTTTCCTGTAAAAAAAGAATTTTGTTTGTCTTGGCAGAGTTTATTCCATTTCATGCTTAGCTTGAGAATATAGGTTCTTCTCAGAAAAATGAGGCATAGGAAGGAAACCATGGAATGAAAGAGAAAATTAAATGGAACCATATGAACACTTGCTCAGAATCAGAAATAACTCCCACTGAAATCATTGGCATTGTTTTAAAGTAAAGATATTGGAATAAAAGATATACTGTATCTTTACTTGGAAATGAAACCTACAGATCACAACAACATTTATATCTGGGTGCACATGTATGGTTGCATGTTATAAAGTTACATGTTACATGTTATAAAGTTATAAAGAGACAAATGTAACCAAAGTCAAGAATATGTCTTCTAATGCCTGACAAGGCATATACATGATTGCTTTAGCTTGTAATTTAGCAAGACAACTCTCTAGGATTATTGCTCTCCTGTTCATTAAACCTTTACGAAAATGATTTGGAATCCATCCAACTTATTGTCTACACTGCTGAGCCCAAATAATGAAACAGAACTTTGCTCTGGGCCTGCTCATGCTTCCCAGAACAAGAAGGAGATATCCAAATTGTACCAAGTTCTATTAAAACAGGTAAAGACTGAAACCACTAAAGCAAAGATGACAGTGAACCTGAAAAAGTTTGAGACCTCATAGCAATTAGAACCAGACTACAGAAGGACTAGCCAGCAATGCTGTAATTGGCTAACTTAGAATTGTCTACAGTTTGCACAGACCTAGAAAAATTTTCAGACAAACCTATAGATTTGAGCTTTACACAGAACAGAAAAATAATAGCTCTCCTATCAGTAACAGCAAACCTGTAAACAGACTCACAGAATGCGAGGAAGTTACTGACGTGGTAATTTTCCTAATCAGCTGGTTTTAAGGAGCTCTGTCTGGATGTCAAAACTCCAGATGATTAGATAAGACACAGAAACAGCTCATTACGCGGCATGTCCTTGGCCTGGACCTTCAGATCCGAACTCCCTTGAGACATTGGCTGAAAGGTTGTTGCTTAGCATAGTAAGTCACATCTAGAGTAGGCCCAGTGGAACCTACAGAAGAGTTGACTCATCAAATCCCCACAGATCTATGGGCTTACTCTAGTTGTGACTTACTGTACTAAGCAACAGCATTTCACCCATTACCTGCTTTGTCTCCTGTCCTCAGAAAAAGCACTTGCTGAGAAAATTAAGCAGCCTTTGCAGCCTAAAACAAGAATGGGGAGAACAGCCTGCAGGATTTGTGTTTCAATACAAAAGAGGGACGTGGTGGCGCTGAAAGAGGGACATGGTGGCACTGCGAGCTAAACTGCAGAAGCCTGTACTGCAGGGTCAGAAGACCAGCAGTCGTAAGATCGAATCCACGCGATGGAGTGAGCTCCCGTCGCTTTGTCCCAGCTCCTCGCCAACCTAGCAGTTCGAAAGCATGCAAATGCAAGTAGATAAATAGGTACCACCTCGGTAGGAAGGAAAAAGGGTGTTCCTTAGTCACACTGGCCATGTGACAATGGAAACTGTCTTTGGACAAACACTAGCTCTACGGCTTGAAAAATGGGATGAGCACTGCCCCCTAGAGTCAGACACGATTGGACTAAAAAATGTCAAGGGGAACCATTACCTTACAAAAGACTTTGGGTTAATTAATTTCTAAGTCCTAACAAGAGACCTTTCATGGTTTACCATTGTCAACAGTCACATAAACTGCATTGAATTGATTCTATGAGGCTGACAACTAGGTTTAACTCTTATACTTACATTTGAAGAATTCTGGGCGTAGTTCTTAGCACCAGAACTGAATGGAATACAAAGTTGTTAAATGCAAACAACACTATTGGTTATCCAAAGTTTTATTTCAGTAGATTAATATTTTGGTGACAGACCTCATGTACTTATTGGTATGGTTGAACTGTGGGTTCCCAGTGTGGTGCAGTGGATAGAGTGTTGGGCTAATACTATGGAGGATAGAGTTCAAATCCCTGATCAGCCATGGAAACTAACTGGAGGAATGGAACTGGTAAAATCACTCCTTAAATATCTTGCTTACCTTGAAAGCCCTATTAGGGTTGCTATAAGTCAGTTTTGATTTGACAGCACATACACTTGCTTAAATCACTGGAACTCAGAAATCCTCACTGAT